TTGAATGGCCCAGCCAGAGCCCTGACTTAAACCCAATTGAGCATCTCTGGAGAGACCTGAAAATGGCTGTCCACCAAGGTTTACCATCCAACCTGACAGAACTGGCGAGGATCTGCAAGGAGGAATGGCAGAGGATCCCCAAATGCAGGTGTGAAAAACTTGTTGCATCATTCCCAAAAAGACTCATGGCTGTATTAGCTCAAAAGGGTGCTTCTACTAAATACTGAGCAAAGGGTCTGAATACTTATGACCATGTGATATTTCAGTTTTTCTTTTTTAATAAATCTGCAAAAATGTCAAACATTCTGTGTTTTTCTGTCAATATGGGGTGCTGTGTGTACATTAATGAGGAAAAAATGAACTTAAATGATTTTAGCATATGGCTGCAATATAACAAAGAGTGAAAAATTTAAGGGGGTCTGAATACTTTCCGTACCCACTGTATTTCTATATGTACTTTATTTTTTATTTTCCTATTGCAGATTCTTCTTCTTCTTCTTTTTTGTTCTGTCAGTTTTACCTTGTTTATTCGTGAAGTGAGTGTTTATTTTGAACAAAGAATAAAACTGATGGTGTCACATCAGATAATGTGCTGCTGTGTTGTTTTCACTGTAATACAGGACACAGATGATTTACACATCACCACTTTCAGTTTTATTTTGGATTTTACATACTGTCCCATCTTTTTCTGATTTGGCATCGAGAGCCACTGTACCAACAAACTCTTTGTTTGTCCAACACACACACACCTGGCCAATAAAGCTGATACTGAAGCTATAAAACATGACAAAGGGTAACCACAGCTGTATTATTATGGCTATCATGATACCCTGGGATTACTTTATTACCAACATAATACCACCTAGATAAAGCCCCTCATGGCAATTACTTATTGTATTTAAGGTGTAGGTGGAGAGGGGACTGGTCAGCACTATGAAGGCTTTTACCACCAATTCAAACACAACTACCGTACACTCCAAAGTCACTCTGTCCTTTTAAGACCACTACAACAAAACCTAATGTTTACTGCAAACATCTGCTAGCTCTAAAACAGCAGTGTAGCTATGCTATAAATATCTCAATATATAGTTGCTACCATTCCTCTGTGTAGAGTAGCACTAACATTACTGCATGTACTATACGGCAGCTGCACACGCCAGTGGACCCTTATCAATGTTGCATTTTAAGTGAAGGCTCTGGTTCTTACTTGTTAGCCCACTCCCACTCTCATTTTGTGTCTGTGAATCGCTGTGGCTTTTGGTGTCACTATCATTATTACTCTCTGGAGACATAACTGCCACCAGAAAAATGAATAACCCCAGATGGTTGAAATTCATTCTGGGAAAGGTAGAAAAATACCATGTAAAGTAGCCAGAGTATAGACGGAGCGAAAGCAGACAGGTCATGTCTGAGTGTGGAATTTCCCTTAACCGTTGCTGTGCATACAGTTAATATAAGTTACTGCCGTAACTGTCACAGGTTATACAGTATGTCTGCGTGTGTGTATGTGTGCGAACCTGTGGTGTGGTGATGATAACAGCTCCATCAACGTGGCTGGAGCTTAAATACTGGACGATTGACAAGTGTTCATCCGAGGTGCCGGGGGGCGTGTCCACGATGAGGTAATCCAGCTCTCCCCAGTCAACATCCCTCAAAAACTGCTTAATCATCCCTGATAGGAGACAAACAGCATACAGGTCAAAGGCGTATGTCAGTTGGAAAAGGCTTTAAATGTTACACACAAACACCTCTACCATTCTTCTTGGGTCCTCTCCAGATCACAGCATCATCGGGGCTGCTGAGCAGGAAGCCAATAGACATGACTGCCAGGTTGTCATCAACATACTGCAACATATATATACACACACATTTATGACAGAATTTCCTCTAAAAATGAAGTAGTAACCCTAAAGTATTTTTTTTAAGCGACTCACCACAGGAGACCAGCCTGAGCCACTCTGGTGAACCTGCACACAAGACAACAGGTTACACACTCATGGCTCAGAAGTCAAAGCAAAAATGAAAAAACAAGGTATGCGCTACAAGAACAAATACTGCATTTGGTGGAAAATATTATTAACTACTAGAAAGGATTCTTACTTTAAACAAAGCCACTACTCACCTGTTCTCCTTCCAGGCCCATGATCCTAGGAATGGATGGACCACAGATATCTGTATCCAGCAGGGCAACCTAAACACAGAAGGAGAAGGAGAGCGAGCAGAAAAACAAAGACACTTAAGCCTCCAGTGTAGTGGCGTCTCAACTGTTCTTAAACCTAAACCTCCTTTTGTAACCTTGTACAAATGTCTACAACAAGAACTTGAGGGGTAGGAAGCTGACCTCCTGACTTTCTCAAAGGCTGTGCAGTGGAACTTTAGAATAGAATACAAGTTGTAGAAATCTGCTCTTGTGCTTAACATTATGATCTTAAACATCTGTTAAACCCTGTCTACAGTGACCTCTAGTGGTATTCAGATGATTTCCGTAGGACACAGCCACTAATTTAGATCAAACCTTAGATACATCTTCAATGGACACAGCTGGTCTTACTAGATCACATGATTTTTGTTCCAGACAACACAGGGAAGCAGAGTTTAGGCAAACACCTCAGGAGCCTTGTTTTGTTTGTTGAATTTGTTGAGTGATTTGCACGGTCATATGTGAAACTATTACCTCCTTCGTGCTGTCACTTGCCAGGGCGTGGGCCAGGTGGGCGCTGAAGGTGCTCTTCCCCACTCCTCCTTTTCCAGAAAGCACAAGGATCTTGTGTTTAACTATTGACAGCTTCTGTCCTATCTCTGCTATGGCTGAAATCAGAGACAGAGGCATCAGATCAGAGATGGAGAAGCAGCATAAGACTCATAAGACTACAAACTTTTCCTGTTGAATGGAATCAGCTTGACAATGAGCCAGTGCAAGTCTATCACTAATACCACATGACGACCTGTCCAGTACTGATGTGTTTATATTGATTATCATTACAGCAGATGTGATAGCAGTCTCACCGGGGTCAGGGGCCTTGGTGGCTCCAGACTCACACAGCTGCTGGTTGGGGCAACCCTGACATGACGCAGACTTCCCTGCTTGCTCACTTGTTGTACCTGGGCAGTCTGAAAAGATTAAACAGAGTCCAGATATCAGTGTATTGATCAGAACCCCAGTACAGGTTCTGGGCCCAGTTGTGGTTGGTTAAGATAAACTCAAGTTGAAGGCTGCCCACTAATGGTCAAGGTCAAAAGGTTTATTGTCATGTGCACAGTAAGGAAATGTGTTTCCCTGTACAATGAAATTGTTTTAACAATGTGCCTTGTGTATTTATTATAACTGACAATTTCTTCGGTGACAATCCGCTTATCTGACGCTGTGGAAAAACGTTAATACGTGTGTTAAAAGCTGTTGAAGCATAAATATAAACGGGTTTCGTTTCATTAAAACTAAAACATCTCAACACTACAGGTAGCAAAGCTGCGTGATTTCTCCCTACACACAAAAGCCCTTTATGCAACACGACTAATGCAAATGTATTGTTGCGGACAAGTTAGTTCAAACCCGCAACAGCCTCGGAGTAAAACAAACAAAACAATTACAAAACGCCAAATCCCAAAACAGCTATACTGTATTTGAAGTAAATGACTAGATGAACAGAACAGAACAGAACAGAACAGAACAGAACAGAACAGAACAGAACAGAACAGAACAGAACAGAACAAAACAAAACAAAACAAAACAAAACAAAACAAAACAAAACAAAACAAAACAAAACAAAACAAAACAAAACAAAACAAAACAAAACAAAACAAAACAAAACAAAACAAAACAAAACAAAACAAAACAAAACAAAACATTAACTCACGTTCGGATGCGTTATCGGGTACGTCCGCCATCTTTTCCACCGGTGTCCTTCACTTAAATCCTTCCCCGCCAAATGTTCCGGAGTCGCGCAACATAAAACTTTCCAGGGATGGTGAAAGTACATAAATCCCAGTAGTAGTAGTTTAATGGTAGTAGTAGCAGTCTGTTGTTAGTAGTAATAGTAGCAAGAGTTGATGCACATTATATGAGCGAATAGGATGATGGTACCAGCAGATTAAATCCCTGTTCACAGCAGCATTTAAGAGCAAATGGATAAAGGAGATATGTAATATATAATATCATTTTTTCAGATTTTTCTGGTCAATGATAATTTTGGAAGCAAACAACTCTGTGCTAACTGCATAACATTCCCAAAGGATTATTATTGTGAGCACAGGGCAGTTCTCTCACACTTTCTGCTTCCCTGAAACATCTGAGCTAACTCTGGCACATTTACACTGATGCTTTTAATATCAGCATTGATTAATGTGCATTGCCCCATATAAATATATAAACAAACAACAAAAAAATGCAAGCTGAAAATTACACTGACTTAAATAATAGATGATGTTGTAGTTCTATGCAGCCAAACAGATAGCGTTCAATTCACACAAACTCAAATTTACCCCAGAAAACCAGCTCACATCAATGATGAAAAAAACACTTTTACAACCACCTGTTTCCTGAATTTAGCTGCAGTAGTGTTTCAAGTCATAGGGGTTGTGAAATGAGGCTCTAAACTAATTCCTTTAACATTAAACGAGTAGATCGGCTCCAAGACCTCCCCCCCCACCCCCCGTGATAGGAAATGGATGGATGGATTAAACGAGTAGGTTCAATGCTGAAACTTTTCAACAAATGCAAAACATTAACTGACATCATTACACGGTAGTACCTTGAAAGGATCTGACATCGAAACACAAAAACACTGAGCATGTATGTGCAAATGTCTTAACCTATACAGTTTTATAAGAATTCATCAAACTTTCTATGTATTTTTTAAGTGTTGTCACAGTGTTGTAACAAACCAGATCACTGTAAAACTGACTTTTTATTTAGCATTAACTCAGCATTCAATGTTTCCTAGTATGTGTTTAACACAATTAACATGACTTGAATTAGTTGAAGTAAAATTCAGTGAGCTCAAGATGAGTAAATGTGCCCACTAGAGAGTGCTGTTGCCTGTCTGTACATACCATGACAAAGGGACACAGGGGACCACAGACTTCCACAGGCTTATTGTGAAGAAATTTCAGTATATAACAAAAGAGAGAGGAGTTCAAGTGGAACTCAAAAGACATTTAATGTAAAGTGCAAAGGTCAGGCAGCGTTAACAACACAGTGGAACTAACACCACACTGTTGTGGAAACAGTTCATAAATACATAACAAGACTAAAATATCAGTTACTTAAACATGACACTTTAATCCTTTTTAATGCTGTATACAACATATTCAACCTCTCTAACCCTTTCTCGCCCTGGGGGCTCATACAACAAGTGTGTGTGTGTGTGTGGGTTGGATCTTTGTTTCTGTTCCAACATGTTTAAACTTTGTGACCAAGCCGTCATTGGCTCACTGCCTTAACAGGAACAGGCGATTGGTCGACAGAGTATCATTTGTCTGGCTTTGTGATCAGAACACAAAGAGATGTGTTAGGTCTGCATGTACGCGCATGTGTGTGTCACTGTTTGGCTATATTAAGTACAGTGCATGTGTGATTGGGTGTCTAAATGCCTTTGTCAGTATGATTCTACACAAACATTATTTTGACCTTTTATATGTGTATAGTCTACACGTGTTTTGTTCTGTGTCTGTATGCGTTTTTGTGAGCTTTTGCCTTCCCATCCACCAACAGTTTGCTCTGTCAAGACTGTGTAATATGATATTTTCTTTGTGTTGATCCATCCATCACTACCTGGCAAACTTATTCGCACAAACCATTAACAAGCTAACAAGCTGTTATAAATGGACCCTGAGGAGGAGACGTTATTGATGAAGAAAAACAAAGAAGGGGAAGTTCTTGAGTAACAATGCAAGAGAAATAAAACTAAATATTAAAAGAAACATGAGGCCAGACACAGAGAAAGAAACACAGATCAAGCAAGCACAGAGAGAGACACTAAAGACCAGTCATTAGGTGTGTACTTCATCGCGTGAGGCTACATGAAAGTTTATGCAGAGAAAAACAACAGACTGTACTTTAGAATTGTCATTTGTGAAACTGCTACAATATCCTTCCTCTTTTGCCTTTGCTATTCCTCCCCTGCCTCTCCACACCCTTTAATGGTGGTGCTGAAAGATGGAATTAGCCCTTTGAACAGAGAGAGAGGATACTCAAAGGTGACATTGCCAGTGCACAAATCAATAGACTATACTGTATATCACCTACTGGATAATTTTGCTCACAGTGTATGAGATTTTCTGGAATTTATTTAACTACAGAATGAAATACAAATAGAAAGTAGATGAATGGATATGTTGTAAAGAAACTTCCTTTAGAACTAGCATTCATTTGAAATGTGTCCGACCTGATTAGTGAGATGAACACTCATGAAAACCCTGAACGAAGGAGACCACTTCTGACAGTGCACTGCACACAGAAAGAGAACATGCTTATTTGCTTTCTGGCTTTTTGAGGGTTAAGACTTGGTTTTAGGGTTCAAGTTAGAATTAGGTTTAGGTTAGATTTAGTGTTAGGATTAGTTTTGATGGTCAAGGGACTTGGCAATGCATTATGTCAATGAGTGTCCTTACAAAGATAGAAGTACAGGTACAAGTATGCGTGTGTGGGGGAGGCATGTTTTTCAGTATGCAAACGTGGGAGCACACTAGCTTTGCAGGGACCGGCGTTACCACAACGTGTTGAGCTAGATAGAAATAACCACAAGTTTGCTGAATTTTCAAAACATATGTGGTGCAAAGTTCGAACAAATGTCAGCTCTGGCTAAGGTTAGGGTTCGTCTCCCAGAAGCTGTCAGTCTGTGTAGGGACACAGTAAGTAAAAAACACAAGGATGTGTGTGTGTGTTAGGGGAATGCTGCAGGGCAGATATGTCACACAACTGAAAAGGAAACAGGAAATAAGACGTTTATGGAAAAAAAAGATGGGTGTGATCAGGACGTGGCTGTTAACAAGATGCGTGTGAAAAAAGATCAAGTACAGCAGGAAACAAAGAGTTTGTGTATTTTCATTTGATTTTATAAAGTTCTTTAAAAGTTACATTTCAGTTCAATTGCTCATCTTTCTTTTTCTCTCACTAAAATACAAACTATTACTGAATCCTTGATTTGGAAACATGAACACAACAAACCTGGTAAGTCAAATACTTTAGCTGCTATTAGAGATCCTTTATGTTTTAATTCACCTCTTAGCCTTAGTCGATGTAAACACAGTAATACTACCATCAGTTATACACAAACTTCGTTCTCCAAATGTCTCTCAGGAGTTGTAGACTGGTGCAGTGTTTCACTGATCCCTATCTTCAGTGACCATTGAAATCCTGCACACTCATTACATGATCTTTGTATTCTTGACAGCAGTTTCAGTGGTGATCCTGGTTTTAAATGCCCCATTGAGTGTCTGAGTTCTCCAGCTACAGATCTGGTCTTGTGGCAGAGTTTAAACAGAATTGTTCCCCAGGCTTAATTTTACAAGTGGCTACCTTGGTCCAAGTGTGTACACGGTATAGCTTGAATCTGCTGTGCAGGATCACTTTTGTATTTTTTAAGATTGACCTCGCAAGAAAAATGACATCTTCAAACATTTCAGCAAGCAACCAAAACCCCGAAGTGTGCAGAGTAAATGTGACTGTCTTGTAATTAAGACAAGTGTTTGCTTCTGCTTTTAATGCTGGTTCCTCTTCACCATGCTAACAACTGTCCCTTATCTCAACCTAGTGGGTAGTTTCATAACCATAATCCCCCTTACCTAAGGAATTAGCAGTTGTGATAGTTTTTACTTATTTGAATCCAAGCCATGAGCTTTTACAAATCATTTTTTGCCTAAAATTTGATTTGATTTGATTTTGATTTAATTTGATTTATTCTTTCAAGCATGTAAAGACAGTTGATATGTCAACACACATAAATTTACACATATCCAACAAATGCTAATCCAATATCAATTTGCTTATACCTAGTACATGCTTGAATGGAGTAGGAAGAAGTCAGACTTATCTAGTCCTACCCCATGACATCATCTTACCATCATTGGTTTGCAAGCAGTATCTCTACATAAATAATTCTCTTCCACACCACACAAGTAATATACTAAAAAATTATAACAGAGTGTTAACATTCTTACATAATTACATTCTTAAATA